GCGAGTTTTACTTGAATGAAGAACTCAAAAGGTAACTTCTCACAAAATAAAATCTCTGCAGTGATTTGTGAAGAATAGATGTAGGCAGAGATTTATGCCCAGCTCCTGCTTTGTGCAGGTGTGTCCTTGGTGCAGGTTATGTTGAACAAGGTGGGTTTGTGAGTGGCAGCAAAAGGAGAGATATTTGTTTGGGGTTGTGGAGCTTTTTTGTCACAAGGAGATTTTATTTAACTAGAAAAAGAATAGTCCTAGGTTTATTTAGTAACTGGAAGATGTGGAAACTGGAGAAAAATTGAGGAAATACTTTGCCATTAAGTTGAAAGGGAAAGCAGAAATTTTGCCATTTAGTTAAAAGAGGAAACAATCTCAGAAGTGGAGTGAATACAGAGTTCTCAGATGTTGGGACATTATAAGGAAGTGCTTAAAGTTAATGTGAATAAAAAAGTTACTATTAAACTCTCTTCCCCATTTTGGAGTTTGGTTTTAGTCTGTGTTTTTATTTTTTCATGTTTAATGTGGTATTTGCTTTTACTGTCATACAAGAAGATGATGCAGATTCTTTATGCAAATGTCATCTTCAAACTATTGAATACCAGTAATGTATATACTGGAAGAAGTAGTTATTCTGAGGGCATTTTGATTTTAACTATTCATAAACGTTCTGACAGTGCATGTGTGGGTGCAGGGCAGCACGTGTGAGTGTCCTCCAGTTGTGTTTAATGCTTCCTATGTAGTCTGCATCATTTGTCTCCTTTTATTCTGACTCTGGGCCCTACACTGCCCTGTGTCTGCAATCCCGTGGCTTTTCCTCACAGTTGCTGTGCTGTTTTAGGCATCTCAGTCCCTCCCCCCATCTTCACTTCCCCTCGTTATACCCTTCATTGCAAACCTACACGCTGGAGTGGATCAGGGAACCCATCCAGGTGCTTCCCCTTCTCTTGGTTGTTCCCTTGCCAGGGAGAGGAGAGCCAGAGCTCCGTTCTCTGGATGCAGTTTCTCTGGTGCACAGTTTGCTTTCTGTGATCCAAAATGAGTTACTTGTGGATTACTTTAATTAAAGCATGAATGCAGTAAAAACATTAGTATGTTTTTATTGATGTTTGAGACTTGCAGTAAAAGTGTGCCATCAGGTTTTATGTCTTTAGTTGATAAAAGGATGCAGAAGACAGAGATTTATGAGAAGGGACGGGCTGGTTGGATCAGGATTATTTTGGGAAAAGGCTATTAAGAGAGAAACGGAATTGCTTTGGCCATTTTGGAATTAGTACTTCAGCCCTTGCAGTGTGAATTGTTAGTCCATGTCAGAAAAAAAAAAAATACAACACTTTCTGTCAGTTTTTCTGATAACTTTATAAACCTGACATTGTTAAAGGCTCTGATTCTGTCTTGATTATCATTGTTCAGATGTATTAGTGCTTGCTTTCTCTAAGCCAGTTTCCCTTGAATCTGTGAATATTCACTGTATTTCAAAAGCTCTGTGCAGTTTTAAATGGCTAAAGAGAAAACTGACAAGCTTGAAAATTAAATTGTAGCGAGGACCTTCTGAAAATGAAAGAGTTCTCACAAGTCATCCAGACAGAAGTTTATCTTCCTTTAAATTTTGATTTTAATAAATGTATACTCCTTTGTGCACTGGACATAAATCACACATGCCACTTAATAGTGTCATTTTTATTTTATTTTATAGGCTATTAAAGTGTTATATGTATTTACACAGATTTATTAGAGCAGTTGCTCAGTTTTCAGTTCTTTCATCTGAAAGTAGATACAATGGAAATTTTGGGGCCTGAATGTTTCGCTGAGTTAGGACAGGAGTAGAATGTTGCAGAATTCATTGGAAGCTCTGAGTGTCTGCTGAGAAGAAAATGATTTGCTGTTTTTCATCAGCTCCCTGAAGACATCTGTAAGGAACTTTGTGTTTCATTTCAAGTGGTTGTGTTGAGGAACTCAGCTTTGCTGTGGGGCTCTGTAGGTCTGTGCCCCAGGTACCAGTAAAAGAAAACCCCCCCAAAACCCCAAACCAACTAATGGCATGATCTCTGTGGGAAGGCTGGGAATATGGAATACTGATTTTATTTATTTATTTATGCTGCCCTTTTCTTGTCTTAGGACCCTCTAATTTTTTACTCCCCTTATTTTTTAATTTACTTTTTTATTCCCATACTTGTCCTGTTTCCAAGTCCAAAAAACCCCTAGGCATTAGGTGTTAGCCTGTTCCCAAGGCACTCCAAATTCCCAAGAATAATGAGAAAAATTACTGAGTGAAACTTCTTGCAGTTTTATTCTCTAGTGTGAGTGGTAACTGGCTTAAAAAAGAAAGGCCGATATGACCAGAACAATTGGTTTGTGAGGTTTTATTTTGTGGGGCTTTGAGGTTGGTTTGTTTGTTTGTTTGTGGGTTTTTTGGTTGACTGTGGTTTGGGGTTTTTTGTTTGCCCCTATGGTTCATATGGCTTGTTGACGTAGTTAGACTCCCATGAATTTCATGGAGTGTTCTAGAGAGGTTTTTCTTGAGCAGAACTTAATTATATTTTTCGTTTTGTTCCCACACTTCCATATACTTAACTGGAGAAAAAAAAACAAACAAACTTTTATTGCTTATTTTAATGCTTCAGTAATTTTAAAATTTTTATTCAATACCAACTCCGTTTAAAATGAGTGTAATCTTGAGTCATATATATGAGTCTGGTTTTAACTTGTACTGAGTTGTATCTTAATGGATTCCCATTTGATCTCAGCCTGTTTTTCTTTGACTGTAATGTCCTTGTTGGCCAAAGCAAATGTGTACAGGTCATGTAGAACAGTGCAACCAAAACCCTGTTATGGCCATGTAACAACAGAGATTTTATTGATACCTTTTACAGCTTTTCAAGGTCTGTGGTGTATTATAGATAGTATAAGAAAGAGTGTAACTTTTAAAAATAATACTTTTGAAATGTAACCAGTTTCACTTTCATTTCCCCCCCTCTTCTTTGCAGCTTGTATTTAGAGTCTGTCTTTTGGAAGAAATTGTTAATTAAGTAACTGTTGCCTGCTTGCTAATAACAGTGAATTCTGAAGTCCATTCTCCTTCTCTGTATTATTTGAACACATGTAGTCAAGAAAGCAGTCACAAGGACTTTGCTTCCCCAGGCCTTTTATCTTCTGTAGGGCTGTAACCTTAGAAGGGTCTTGAAGAAGTGCTCTTTTCTGTAATGGGTGAAGGCTAATGAGTTTGGCTTCCTGGCTCATCTTAGGTTTCAGCTCTGCCTGCTCTGAGTGTCTGATTGTGTGAGAGAAACCTGGCCAGTGGAATGGCTTTAGGGTGACTTGGTTTGGGGACCTTCAGTGTTCCAGAGGTGTCTGGGGAGGATTCTTCTCCTGTGTAGCTCTTGTTGGGGTTCTGCAGGACCACGTTTCTTGCATCTGCTGTGCCACAGGTGACTGTAGCCTTTGGGACTGTGGGGTGAACAATTCTGATGATGTGATGTGTGGTGTCATAACTATACCACGTTGCCCCCTACACCCTAATTTCCTTTGGACACAGATGTCACAGAACTTACCCAGGCCTAATGAATATGAGATTGGTGTGTGCTGCCCAACAGCATCAATTAAACTTTACCAAGATTTTGGTGGTTCTTTGCAGGATGCAGTTCACTACCTTTTGAATCCTGTCACTACTGCAGTGCTGTAAACAGGGAAAGATTGAATAAACCGTTGCATCTTTATTTGTACTGCAGTCCATGTTTATTCCTTTCAGTGTTTAAGCACTGTTTTTAATTAAATTTAAGCACTGTGTTTAATTAAAACAGATTCATGGTACTTAAACCTTAAAACTACTTAAAACTACCATACAATTACTAAGAGCTTTCAGCATTTACCAAGTATTACCTTGACATATTCTTGTGTCAGCAGTAAGAAATTCCATCTTAGATTGGCTTTTTACTGGTATGTCCAAGTTTTAAGAAATAAGCATCAATTTTTACTATTACAATTTTTCTAGTTGAGATCAACAAAATTTTTCATTTGCATGTTATGTTGTGACTTGGAAGGTCATTTGCAGGATTTTGGTGCTGAGGCAGGCGCTGATGTCTTAAAAAAAAAAAAAAAGCAGATCAAAGGAAGTGAAGTTCTCCCCAGTCTGAGAGCAAACTTGCAGAGTAAAAATATGTATTTCATTCCTGCAACTTTCTGCTATTGTTAGCCTCTTGTGTGCATGAACATTGGAGAAAGGAAGCTGTCTGTGTATTCTCTTGATGCATTTGGTAAACTTACCAGCCACTAAGATGCTGACATTCCTTTTATTATTGTATTAAGTCTTTTTATCTACTGAGAATTAAGAAAACAGAGCAAAAGTAGTGAATAGTACATTCTCCTTACTTCATTGGTCAAGCACATACTATTTTTTGTGAAAGTGTTCCTATTGATGCATGTTGTGTGTTCATAGTACAGCAAAAAAATCCTCATTGTGTTTCAGTGCAATTAATTTTGCTGTGAAAAGTGTCAACGTGGGGGTAATGATTGAATCTTAAAACTTGTTTGTGGAATTATAGTCTTGCTGTGTATTCATATATATGTGTTCATGTATATTCATGTAGGGTTATAATTGATGCAGTGTTTTTAGAAATATAAATTAATCAAGCTTGATGTGTTTGTCAGTTCTTTCATCCTTCTTTGGAGTGTAAGTTAACAGTGGTGAACGCCAGCCTCCAAGTAGAGGTATTTTGTAAAATTAAGTCTTCAATGCTGTTGTGTTTGCATTCTCCACTTAAGCCTGGACTTTCTTGGTGAACTTTATTTTCCTAATAACCAGTGGTGACTAAATTTCTTCTCCAGTGTGTTGAAGATCTCAAACACACAGTGGTAACACAGTTCCCATAAGCGGTTCGTATGTTAATGTGAACTCTGTTTTACAAAAATTGTATGAATGCTGCTTTCCTTTGAAACTGATCTTCAAAAAGAAATCCTGTTTTGTATAATAAGATGCCAGACTCACAAAGATTTCCTTTCTTGTTTCATAGACGTTCCATCTTCAGAGCAGCCTGAACTGTTCCTAAAGAAACTTCAACAGTGCTGTGTCATTTTTGACTTCATGGACACGCTTTCAGACCTTAAAATGAAAGAATACAAGCGCTCCACTCTTAATGAACTGGTGGACTACATTACAATAAGCAGAGGCTGTTTGACAGAGCAGACTTACCCTGAAGTAGTTAGAATGGTGAGTTCCTTCTTTCTCATGGTCTCTTTAAATCCACTTGCAGTTCTAGTTACGTGTTGTGGGCGAAATTGAACCTGGAGTAGGTGGATTAAATGAGGCCTTTGGTTTGTATTTGCTACGAGACATCACTTGGGGATAATTCTCCAGAGACAAAAATGTTAATTTTTATATATTTTTAATTAAATCCAAGGAGATGATGGTTATTTATAATTACAAACCTATGAAAAGAAACCTGGATTGCTTCCTGATGGACAAAACCAGCAGCTATAAAATGGAAGTCCGTCACGTTTCCCCCCACCTGCCCTCCCTCTCCTCCCCAGTATAAATAATAGAATAATTTTTGGAAGTTTCTTATCTTTCTTTGAACCTTCTCCAAGTTCTTGAGATTCTCCAAGTATCTCTGCCTCTACTTTAGGCAGAGATAGCTTGAAGTATGCACAGATAATAATTTTAAAATAATAAATGCTAAAAATATTGTATAAGATCAGTGTGAAAATTTCCTGGTTGTGGTATGTGGATTTATTAGCAGCTGTTGTTAAGAGTGAGCAAGATTACTCAGCAATAAAGCCATACTTTGTATATAGAAATGGTCAGATAATAGTTTTTCAGTGTAAAAATGGATACAGTACCAGATGCTACATGGTGAAGGTTCATTGGATTGGTAAAATCAATCACTGCTTTAAAGTGTTTGTTCTGTACTACCATACAGAACCCTTAAAACCCATTACCTAAATGAGAAGGCAATTAGTTAAATATAGATTTGGTGATGTTGGTTTCCTAATGATGCTGTGTGATCATGGAATCCACTGGCTATGTGCTGTAAAAAGAAAAACACGAATAGATTTTACACTGCATTATATATGCTCCTCACTTCTTTTCTGACACACAGATACATGCTGTGTTGCTCGTCTGTAATACTTAAAAATAGCTGTAAATTGTGGCAGAACCACCAAGCAGTTAATCATGAAAGGGAAAAAACCAGAACTTAAGGGTATATGGAAAAATCTTAATAGGGCTTCTCTGTGTGTGTGCATTGTCAGAAAGCCTATAATTATGTGATCAGATTCTTCCCCTTCTCCCTCACCCGCCCTTTCCTGCTCCTGCACTGGACCAATCTTCTGAATGAAGTGCTTTTCAGTCTGTTATGTTATTTGTTCAGCATGTGGTCTCATGCACCATTCAAATACTGTCAGAATACAGAATGACTAGTTCTTTGCTCAGTTCTTCAGCTGGTGCTGCATCCAAATGGTTTGTGAATGTTTTAATCTCCTGTGTATCCCTTGCGATGAACAAAGTGTATCACACCCTTTGCACAGACAGGACAGTGATGCACAGATAACTTCAGAAAAATGGGGGACTTTTTCCACTTACCTCTTCAGAGAATTTGGTAATTCTTTTTAGCATTTCTGTTACTGAGGTTTTATTCTCATGTTGACTTTGTTTATAGTTGTTTACTGCAGCAAAATCTGTTGAATAAAAACTCTGCAAGTTAGTGTTGTCTTAGTTTGGGCCCCAAGAAACAACAAGAATTTGATTGGTAGCTGCTCATAAAGTTCAATTTGAATCATGAATTGTAGTCTGTGAAACAGTCTGATCTTGAACTGTGAAAGAAATGCAAAACCCCTTTGGTAGTATGTCCTACACTGTCCCTGTAGTCACTTGTGTTAATTCACACAACAAGTTTTATCTTAAGGAAATTATGCATTGCCTGAAGAGTTTGAAAAGCATGGTTTTAAGTAATTTCCTTAAATATAGTCTATGTCTATAATATGGAGGAGTCACTGGAAATAAAGATACGGCCTGAATGTGTCAAGTGGATTTGGTTGATGTTTGCTAATGGAGCTTCAGGAATTCAGTTTCAACTTAGCTCATTTTTGATGGAAAACTGTACTCTCTTCCTTTCATTCTTCAATCTGCTTTCTTCTGCCTTGCATTTGGGCTCCAGTGCTGAACCCAAGCTGTGTTTCCTCTTCATTGCCATGGTACCAAAGCAGGGCAGGACTGCGAATATTCTGAAGTCCTGTGTCTGGCTACCCAGTGACCCTGACTGCCCAAACCCGGATTTTTACAAATAAAAAGATGCTTAAGTATTTAGGGAAGGGGACATGTTTTTTCCTAAAGAATTTCCTGAGAGGAGTTGTAGCATTTAGATTTTGTGAGAAGCTCTGGCTTGCAACAGCCACCTGTGCTTTGATGAAGGTGTAAACTCTTGGACAGCTGGAGTCCCCTGGTTGTGCCTGTGGTTTTGGTGCATGTGCTGCACCACTTTTTGGCACTATTATGTACCAATACTTTTTGGTTGTATTCTGTGTGAGCAGGATGCTGTGCTCTGGTATTGAATTTATGTGAGTGAATCCATAGGAGATGCATGAATGATTTTTGTCGATCATCCCAACGAATGCTAATGCAGCATTTCTACTGAACCACATCACCAGGACCTTTGTGGCTTGCAGGTTTTTTGTATTTTGCAGGTATAGGCTATCTGGTAAAAATGCTTTTTCCCTCTCCTTGTCTTTGCCTATAAAAGCAAGACTTCTCCAGCATTCTGATCACAGTTACATGGGCTCTACAGGGAAAGGTAGGGCTTGTAATATTATACAGAGTAAGTTTTCAGCACATACTGCCTGATGAAGAGACAGCATTATTCACTTTGTCCTGAAGCCTTGTGTTTGGTGTAACCTGTTCTTTGTAGTAAGTGCAATTCTTGTTTCAAGCAGATTTGATCTGAGACAGAATTAACTGTGCCCAGTTGACTTTGTGAGTGCAACTGCTGCCTTTGTCTGCTCTTGGGGATTTTCACCAGGGTCTCCAACTGTGTTCACAAAAGAGCTGTCACGTTGACAATCTCAGACCTGTCATGATAGTGAAGAAAACAGCAGTATCAATGTCCTGACCAAATTAGTGTCCCCACTGACTGCCTGCCACAATTGTCATGGCATTGAGTGTTTTGATTGAAAGACCAGGATCTTAAAACTGATCAAAACTGAGCCCAAGTGTTCTTTGTCCCTTTGGAAGGTCTCTTCCCTTTATGTGTAGTGTTTATGAGTCTAGGAATTAATATTTCCTGCTTGACCCTTTGAGCTACTGTGATTTGGAGGTGAAGGGGAAAAAAAGAAGCTCTTCTGTGAGTTTTGGTATCATTTAAAGTCTGGGGAAAAAAAGGGCCACCAGTCTGAAATGGATATTTTTAAAGTTACTGATATTTGTGGAGAAGGATTAATGGCTAATGGGTTTTCTCATCTTACTTTTTTGAACATTTTAGATAATTAATAACTGTGGAAGAGGCTTTTTTTGTTTTAAGGTTTTATAATGTACCTGTATGTTAGTGATCTCTGTTTGTGACCCAACAGGAATTTGGCTCTGTAGATACTGGGCTAGAAAAAGATTACCAGTAAAATTCTTCAGAAGATCTGAGACTTTTAATTGCTTCTAAAATGTGGTGGTGTTTTGACATAAGGGTTTGAAAAACAGTCATTTGTGGTAGCCAGCATAACTCCTGGGTATTTTTTTATGCCAACCATCTGAAACTTATGCCATTAAAACCTTTATCTGTATTTACAGTATCACATATTTTCATCTTGTTCTCTTGAGCATATGATATGATGTTGGATATAGCTAAATGTGAAATCACTTGGCTCTTTGCCAACCTGTGTGCAAATCTGCTTCTTTAAATCTCTCTGTTTTTGGCATGTTAATTGTTATTTAAAAAAAAAACTAAAATAAAATTGGATTTCCTAATGGCCACCAAAGCAAGTTGCAGTGGCCTCATCACTGTCATCAATATCAGTTGATGGGAAGAGGGATTGGGATTTGTGTTAATGGCTGTGAGCTGGAGAGATTTATTCAGGAGGGCATTGCTCAGCACGCTTCCCCTGCAGTTTAATGTGTTGTTCAGAAGGGCAGATGACATTGCTTAGAATTAGGTAAGTCTCAGGAAAAAAGGCCGTTTCCAATTAAGCCACACTCTGCTAAGAAGGAAATGGCAGTATTAGGACTTTATGAGCCAATAATTGGACACTTAATCTAAAATTTGTTCTTGTCCAAGCAAAATGTGGAGGCTTAAACTAATGGTACTGATTTTGCTGGTAGATTAAACAATGGTAGTTGAATGAAATAAATGTTTGTTATTATCTGTGGTATCCTAAAGGGTGTCTGTAGTAGAGCTGTTTTGTGTTTTCTGGGTGTTAAGACATAGATTGAGAAAACTGATTTATTTCATTTAAAAAATTGGAAGGGAAAAATTGACAAGCTGTTCAACTGAGAAATCTGGATGAATTGTTGGTGAGCAACCTTTCAGCTCTCCTACTTGATTCTTCAAAAATTGTAAACCCAAGCCCTGACATTTACTGGGGATGTTTACAAAACATCCAGGAGCGATTGCCAGCCCATAGGAGATGGGGAATGAAACTCTTTTGGGATACACCTTTTAGAATGGTTCTGAATTGTTCTCCTCTCTTCTAAGTGCTGAGATGCTTTTGGCTTCCCTTTTCATCTTTATCTTTTCTGTAACGACAAATCAAGTAAAATAGGACTGTAATTTCTCTACAGCCAAAGTGAAACATCACATGTCATGAGGTGTAGAAACTGTGTTGAGCAACACAGGGAGAGAAACTTGTTTAAATCAATACCTAAATAAACACAAAAAAGTGAGTTTTAAAGGTCAGATTCTGCTTTTCTTTTTTTTTTTTTCTTTTATCTCTCCTTTCTACTGGCATAAATCTAGAGGGGTTGCATTCCTTTTACTGCAGGTTTCTCTCAACAGATGTGAGGGCAGAGCCTGTTCAGGAGTTTGTTTGTGACAGACCTGTTAAACATAAAAAATATCTTGTTAAGCCATGATTTTTTTAGCATGTTAAGGAACCTATTTTTAGGAAGTGTTCTGGCTGTAGACTTCATAGGCATTATGAATCTTTTTATTTTCTATAGCTTTAGCTGTATCTTATGACTAAGTATGACATCTTGGTTGCTAAATGTTCATCCTGTTTAGGATTTTCTGTATT